GGTGGGCCTTGCCCTGCCCGGCCCTGCCCTGCTGGAGGAACCCATCTCTGGGTCCCCTGTGGTCCCATGACTCTCCCAACATTGCTAGGGGTCTGGGCTGGATTAGAGGTTGGGGCAGCCTCAAATTCCAGGCAAGGGGTGGGGCAGTGAGTGGGTCTTTTAAAGGGTCTGTTGAGTACGCTATGTTGGTGGTGGCTGCAGAGGCTGGTGAAGGGCCAAATGGCCACATGTGCAGAGTGTGCAGGGTGGATGTGACCATCAGAGGCCACAGGCCAAGAAGGCAGGGCCCTGGAGTGGAGGCTGGCTTCTGAAGGTGAAGGGGATTCTGGAAGAGGAAGGGCAGCCGCCCACGGCTGGCCACCTTGCGATGGGAAGTGAGGCCTCCTTCCGGGAGGGCAGGAAGGGAAACAGGAAGATGAAGGGGGCTTTCACCCTTCCTCCAAGCCTGTGCCTCGGCTGGGGCAGGACAGGTGCATAAATACCTATCCACAGGCGGGACATTCTAAGGGCTCTACAAGAGGCGAGGAAAGCAGTCAGGGCACAGACAGTGAAGACCAAGTCCAAATCCACAGTGGGTCTTGGCCTCTGTGAACCTCAGTTTTTAAGTCTATAAAACAGAGATAATGACATCTGCCTTATGGATTCGGACCTACCCTTTTGGATGCTTATATGGTCGAAAGCATCAAATTATGTAAAAAACGATTTGAAATTGTACCACACTACATGGGGGTATTATATCATCAGACAAGCCAGATCTCTGAACTCCTTGGCCTGGGGTTCTGGACACTGGATTCTTGCTGACCCTGTGTTGTCCTCTCCCCCCTCCCACTTAGAGAAGGCTGACAGCAGCCTCTCTTTTGGTCAATCAATACAATCACCAATATTTAATGCCCTTTTTTTTTTTTTATTTGGATGCAGAAAGCATTGTGCTGGGAAGGAGAGGGGCAGAATCTAGAATTCATTCCTACAGGGCCTCCCAGCATTAGGGAGGCAAGGTATCTCTGTATAAGATAATTAACAATGCAAAAAAAGGTAAGATTAGCAAATGGGGGCGGCAGAGTTCTGGGGGAAAGAGAACTCTGAGGTCACCAGCACTTGCTTGCAGGACAGCCCAGGGCTCTAGGACATGGTCTCTAAGAGGAGGGCATCTTGGATTGAGTGTAAGGACAATGGGAGCAAGTCACAGGAAGGCAGTCAGGAGGCAGGCTCAGGCCAGAATGACCATTTCCTGTGGGGAAGAGGAAGGAGCCCCTGTTGGATACAGGCTACAGAGGCCTTGAATGCTGGGCAAGGGGGTCTGGTCTTTAAAGGCATCAGGAGCCAAGGAAGGTGTTATAGAGCCCTGGAGTAAAATCAGGGAATGTCCCACATTAGATGAGGGCTCACAGGGTGACTGGAGGGGACAATGCAAGCAGGATCATCACTCTGGGGGCTAGTGCAGCTATTGGGGTGAGACGGAAGTCCTGCTCACCCTTGAAATGCTCTCAGATGGCGGGCAGACTCCTGAAGGCGGGGAAGCTAAATACTGTGTGGTCACACATTTCCTTTTTGTTTCTGGAGAGGGTGGCGGGTTGAGTGGCCTGCATGTCTGGACCCTTGCTTTAAGATCTGGCTCTTAGGATTCACTAAGTCTGTTGATGGAGGCTGGCCAGATCTGGGCAACTCAGAAAATCCAGTTCTCTGCTCCCAGGGAGTTGGTCAGCGGCCACTGAGCTGTGGACGCAGACGCAGGTTTGTAGAAGGGCTCCCGGTCAGGTGGCATTCTAGCAGGCTCTATCCAAAGCCTGCTTCCGTCCGGGTACATTTCCAGAGGGGTCACCCACGGGCAGCCAGTTGAGGTGAATGAGTCTTTAACTCATATGGCTTCCTGCTTCTTAAAGGGCCATCATGATATCGCAGGCCCCTCTAAAACAAAACCCACGCAGCCTCTGCTGCTCCAAGCAGGAAGTCCTGTGAGACCAAGAAAAAGACCAGGCCCAACAAAGCATGCAGCAGGGGCTGCAACCAGTTAATGCAGAGCCCGAGGGCAAGGCCAGGTGAAATGCAAACTATTAACCAGCTGCAGGTGGCGGGGCTCCTGGCCACCCAGTTCAGGAACAAGGCCCCTACCTATCAGGGAGCCTGGACCTACCCTTAGTTCAGGGGGGCACTGTTCTCACTGCACTGAGGACCCTCCACCCGCTAAAAAGAGGAGGTTGGCCTGCCCCTCCATGGAGGAAGAAATGCTCCCCCAGCCCAAGAGATTCTGCAAGCTGAAACCGTGACCCAGGACAGGGAGTGGGGATAAGGCACTGGGCAAGCCAGGCAGCTCCTCTGAGGGACTTAGTGACCTCTAGCACTCCCTGGCTGGGCTCCTCCATGCTAAAACTGGGTTGCCAGGGGCCCTATCCTGGGCTCTGGTGCGGGGCTTGCTGGCTGGCCCAGGAGAGGTGGGATTCTCCAGCAGAAAAGATGCTTGCCTGTCGCGGGGAAGTTGTGGCACCATTTGCAAGGGTGCTGTATGAGAGGGAAGGTCAGCAGTGGTCTCCTACAGACTAGTGGCTATTCCTTGCAAGTACAGCTCAGAGGTAGAGCACTTGGCAGCAGAATAATGGCTATTCCATAGACATTTGCTGAAAATATCTACCATGCTCCAGGCTGTGTGCCAGATGCTGGGGACGGATAGTAAGAAGAATCCCTGCTCTTGAGAAAGGCTCTGGGGACGGATAGTAAGAAGAGTCCCTGCTCTTGAGAAAGGCTCAAAAGGTTACTTATGACATACCAGGAGAAACGATAAACAAATGAATAATGGACTGGGGGTAAGTGGGCAGCTCACAGTGGTTCCTCTTGGGGAAACTGAGAACGGCCTCATTCTGAGGCAGGCAGATTTGCAAAAATTTTTGGCCAGACAGAGACAGGAGGTGGGAGGGACAGGACATCTCAGGTAGAAAGACCAGCACAGGTGAAGGCTTAGGGCATGTGTCCCAAAGAGTGATCAAGCATGGCTCTCCTGATGGTGATGTGGAGTTGAAAGTGTCAGAAAAGCAGATTCTACAGAAGTTTGGGTTCAAAACTGCCAGATGTCTTTAGCTAAAAGGCCTAAGACTCAGAGAGGTTAGGCAGTCACAGATAGGAGAGGTGTTATCACAGATGGGGATGGTGTTATCACCTCCATTTTGCAGTAGAGGAAGGTGGGGTGCAGAGAGATGAAGTGACCTGCTGGTCACACAGCTGGCAGATGGCACCCTGGCCCTGCGAGTACCTCAGATTCCAGGATTGAGGGAACCCAGGCAGCTAAAAGAAGGGGCTTTCCAGTGAGTAAAGGTGGTGACATTCTACCTTCCAGTAAAAATCAGATGCTTGGGAGAGGGCAGATGGGGGGCAGTGGGGTGCTCTGCCTCAATCCAGGAAGGCCAGGAAGGCTGGGAACAGTGGGTGTGCAGCACCTGCAGGGACAATGTCTCAAAGGGTTACTTTCTGGTGAAATGGGAGTTCACAATGGGTTCCATGCCTGCTGGGTTGTTATTAACTAAGGTTGGGGGGCACCAGGGGACACAGATGACCCTGTGATTGAAGTCTGAAAAAGCACAGTACCTCCCGAGAACCTCCCTTTCTAGCATGGTAGGCTGCGTGGGTACAGCCCTGCCCACTAGGGTGAGGGTTAGGGTGGCGTGGGGGCGGCAGCTCCCAATTCCATTCTCCCTACCCAGGTCCAGGGACTGAAGTGGAGTGCAACAGAAATCCTGGACACCCAGGGGCCTAGGCCATCTGCGCTGAGGGACTTGCTTTGTCCTTTGAAGACAGATCCTATTCCAGAAGGGAGCTGGAGTGAAGAGGGAAGAGCAAACAGTTCTCAGAAACTGTCCTACATTTCCCCAGGGCTCAGCCCTTGAGAGTGGGGCCCCTTTGCAAAGGACTCCCGGGTGGTGATCCATGATCAGGCAACAGACAGTCCAGTCCTTCACCTGCCTGAGGCAGGGCTGCAGGGGACAGGAGCTGATGTCCAGAGAACCTAGGTGGGGAGGAGAGGCTCTTGAAGAGGGCAAGCAAATCGACCTAGTATCAGGGCCATAACTTAAATTGTCTTCCACTCCTTAGGGCCAACAGGTCTTGTAGTCTCAGGCTATTTCTCCTACATGATGACCCTGCCCAGTGAGCTGCCAGGTAGTGGCCTGGTTAAGTAAACGTAGTTAGAAGCCAGGACAACTTAGCTTCTCTCACTCAGGTAGATGGGGGCTTTTCAGTGTGGGCATGGAGCTGCTAACCCTATTCATGCCTTGGTGCCCGATTCTGGGGGTGGGAGGTGAATGAGGGATTGGAGAGCTCTGGAGCAGCAACACTGAAACAATTTGGTCTTAGCAGCCTTCTCCAGATAAGCCTGCCAGCATAGGGCACAGGAAGGGATATAGTGTTCTAGAAAGCCAGGGCCCTACCGCTGCTACCCGGCTAAGCAAACATTCCCTCCTAGTCAGAAAGCTCGGTGTGCAAAGGGAGGAACAGCCTGAGGTTTATCGCTCGGGCAGCTCTGGGTGATTGATAGAGTTTAGACTCCCGGTTGTCATAGACCTAGGCACGCAAACAAACAGCCCGGGAGGTACCCCTCCCCTCTCCGCGCCCGACCCCACCTGGCTACCCCCTCACCCGTGACCAGCTGCCTCCCCTCCCCCTCGCAGGCGCTCGGGGTTGAACAAACATGCCCAGCAGTCCGCCCCGCCACCGGTTGGCTCCGACCGCGAGCTGCTGGCGATCCCCCAGGCAACTAGGCGTCACGAGAATGGGCACCCCGAGACCCGTGGCCCTGCCCTCCCCCGCGTCCCCAGGGGCCGGGCCAGGCTCAACAACCTCCTCTTTCTCGGTGCGCCTTGGCCTCTCAGGGCCTCCGGCGCAAGCCAAGCAGGCCCGCACCCGGCCTCCAGGGGCAGCGCAGCCCACCTCCCGCGGGGCCCGCGGCCCCTGGAGAAGGAGGCCGGAAAATCTCTTGTTTACTGGGCGAGAGAGGTCTCAGCCGGGATTCGCTTCCCTATTCTGCGGTTCCCTTTCAGCAGATTCCCGGGTCCGGAGGGGTCAGGGCAGTCACCCGCAGATCCACCCTGGCAGGGAGCGGGGGTGTGGGGCTCAGGGGAACCCGAAATCGTGGAAAGGTCCCCCGGCCGCGGGAGGGGCTAAACTCGGAGTCAGAGTGAGCGTGACCCGGAGCGCAGAGATCGGGGCCCGGTTAAACACTGTACCTCGGGGAACAAAACCGTGAAGGCTAATTAGGACAAGTCGGCACGCGGAACGGGGACGCGGGGAGGGGGGCGCGCGCTCCGAATTGAGCCGGGTCTGGAGCGGTCTCGGGAAACCTGAGCGCTGGATAGTAAACCCAGCGCGACGTTTGCCCACGGTCTGCAGGGGTTGGGGCTCGGCCCACGGGATTAGGGGCGTGCGTGGCGGCATTCCCACGTGATCTTGGTGACTGGGGTATCAGGGAAGGAGCGCGCGTTAAAGAGGTGGACGCTGGGTGTGTGAAGTGTCCACGTGTGCAAGCTCTGGAGGGGAGGGGGCGCAGAAGGCGTGACAAAGACGGACTTTGTGTCTCAGTGTGCGCCTCGCTCCAGCCCGGGGCAGCGAACTGCGTCTGGCGTGTCTCGAAGGAAAGCCAGGACGAAGGTGACAAAGGCTGGGTGTCCGCCACTGAGAGACGCGCCAAGGCAGCCCCGGCGCCAGTGGGTGCGTACGCGAGCTGGGAGATGCCGCGAGGGAGAGCCCGCCCGCGGGATGTGCTGGGCTGCACCCCAAACCGCTTTCCAGAGAAAGAGCCGAATCCAGAAAGTGAGTGCGCGTGAATGTGCGCGTGCTCGCGTGCGGGGGCGTGGCAGTAAACAGCAACAACCCACACGCCAGCTTGGCTAGAAACTCGGATCTCGCTCACCGGCCGGAAAGTGCGTCTCGGCCGAGGCTGGAGGTGAGTCGGCGGAGGGAGGGCAGGGCGGGCTTTGTTACTGTGTAAACGGATTGCACCTACCTGGAGCGCCGCGGGCGCCGGATAAGCGCCGTGAATGGAGGTGATGTCACGGTGATACCGGCCGGCCCACCCTCGCCGAGAGGAAGGAGCCGGGCACCCGGCGCGAAAGCGAGCGACCTAGCGCGCCCAGCTCCGCCCGGGTCCCGGAGAGGCAGGTCCTGCGCCCCGCGCCCCCGCCGGGGCCCCGCCACCCCAGCCAGGGCTGAGGCTGGCGCTGCGCCCTGCGCGGAGTCCCTCCCACCCCCGCCCGCGCTCTGCCTGGAGCTGGAGTTGGCCCCAGACGCCGCGCCGGAGCCGGGCTGGCGGCGCGTCCCAGGTAAGGCTGCTGCCTTCCCGCTCCGCCCTCCCCTCCGCCGCCCGGAAGAGCCGGGTAGGGCTGGCAGGGAGTGGGCGAGGGCAGAGGCGCTGGGGTGGACACCCGGGAGGCGGGGGACGCCGCGCCAACTCCGTTGGGTCGCGGAAAGTTTCCAAACCCAAGCCAGCTGGGGACTGGGGGCGGAGGAAGCCAGGAGCGGCGGCCCCGGTGGACAGCAAGAGAAAGGAGTCCGCGGCGGGAGTGTCCCTCGATCCGCCTGCCTCTTAGCGGGAGTCCACAGATTGCTCTCCGCTGCCCGATGCTGTGGAAGGGAAGGGGGCAGGTTTCTGTGGACAGGGGAACTTTGACGAAAAGTGACTGGTCTCCCTGCCCTTTCTGTTAAGACGTCCGAGGAAGCGCGTAGACCTTAGTAGCGGGGACTGGAGTGGGAAGGGGAAGGCTCCGGATCTGTCTGCGGGAAAGTTTGGAATTTTCGACTATCACACCGCTGGATTCCTGGCAGCGTGGCTTGAAGACCCCACCCCCACCCTCCTGGCTTTTCCTGTGTCCTTTTCACTCCCCCCCCCCCCCCCCCCCCTGGCTTTCCCCTCTTCTTTTCCCCCCCCCCCCCCCCCCCGACCGCAGTTTTACACCCGAGAAGACCTCATCACTTAAAGCTACCGATCTTGATCCTAAAGCACCAGAATGTGTACAAACAGGGTTTTGTGGCCTGGATCCCCACCTCCCACACCACCACCATCACCAACCATGTGCCTTCAAGTGTGGCTGGGACCGGGAGTGCTGATGGGGGGTGGGGCGCATTCCAGAGGGACATTCCTGAGCAGACCCTTGGTGAAGACTTCTGAGTCTCTGAATGCCCCAGGCAGTTTGGCCCCAACGCCAATTCTTGGTATGGGGTGGGGTGGGGACCGGATTGAGGTGGCTCCTTCCTGGCACTGGATCTCCCAGACTCCTTATTGGATGGGTTAAGTGTCAGAGCCCTCTGGATTGAGGGCTAACACCTTAGGACCCAGCCGGCGACAGAGAGAAAGGAGGAGGAGATGAATGGGAGGTGAGAGGAAACTGGCAGAGTCCACCCATCTTTTCAGTCTGCTGAGTGGAGGCAGCCACTCAGGGAGGAAGAAGGCTGCTCTGCGCTCTCCCTGGCCGAGCAGCCCCCTCCGGGAGGGGCTCTCAATGTTCTTGGCACCCTTGAAGGCAACCATTGGCCTCAGGTTGATATCACTCTGCACCCTTGAGCCTGGGAGACAGACCAGGACTGCTTCCCCAGATTCTTGGGGCTTTCTTTCCACGATGGTATTCTTCACCCTGAGGAGTTCTCCAGTTTGGGTGTGGATGGTGGAGGGGTGAGGGGGGCTGGCTGCCTTACCTGTTGCTGGGTAAAACCAGTCAGGGCTGGCTGGGCCTCCGCCCTCCAACCCTGGAGGCCTCTCTGCTCCCCCTGGAGTGAGAAGGGCAGACATTTCTGGAGCTGGACTAGACTGACTCAGACCAGAGCTGGGGGCTGGGTGGCTGAGCCAGGGAAAGGCAGATTTCAGAGGTGATTAAAAATATTTGTGTGACTGGTTCTGGAGAGGTGAAGCAAAAGGGCCCTTTTGTCCAAAAAAAAAAAAAAAAAACATCTGAGGCTGGACTTCAGCTGTGGGGAGTGGGAGGCTCCTAGGGCACGAGGAGCTTGCTCCCTCTTCCATTCCTCTCTTGGTATCTCTTAAAAATCTTTATGCAGGAGATGTGACCCCAAAATGAAGGAGGTGGGACTGGGTGAGGAGAAATGGACGTTGTGTCCATTCAGGGGGATGATTTTGCAATGCCTACTCTGTCCAAGCCCCAGCATAGAAGTTTCAAGGAACACTGTCTTGTTCACTAGCCCCAGACTTAGAGCCTGGGAAGGGAGAGAGGTGTTCATGATTTTAATGTTCAAGGCTCAGGAGGTTCAGTGTGAGTACAGGATCCACGGAAGGAAGAAGATACTTCCAGAGCCCTGAGGAAGAGCCCAAGAGCAGAGCTGGGTCCATCTGGTCTCGCCCTTAGCCACCATCCCGAGGGGACATCAACTAGATGGCTGAATCTGCACTCTTGAGCTTTATTCTCTTGAACTCTTCTGCTGGCTTCCAAGGGTTTCTGTCCTAAGCAGGGGACCAGAGCCAGGCTCAGCTGGCCCAATTTTTTTTCCACCTGAGTCAGTGTATTTCTGTCTCCCCACCTGCCCTTCAATTTTGGGGGGAAGCAGAGGATTAAGACATTTTAGGATGGGAATGGATTGCTTCATCTGAGGCTGATCAGTTTCAGGGCAGCTGGATGGCGTCAAGGTACCGGTTGGGGGTGGGGTGAGTAGATTCCTGGGGGTTTGGTGGCAGAGTGAGATTTGAAGGGTAAGGTCTAGGAAGCTGTTTGGCCAATAGCAAAGTCAGGAGGAAATGGGGGAGAAGGGAGCTGTAAAGCCTCCTTGACCCTGGCCCAAGTGCCCAAGGGGTGCTAGAGGCCAGCAGGGTATAGACATTTCTTTTTTTCTTTCGTGGCACTGGGCATGGAACCCAGGGCCACACACATGCTAGGCAAGCACTCTACCGCTGAGCTACTCTCCAGCCCTGGCAAGGTTTTTTGTAATGATGTGGCTGTTATCAGATGTGAGTCAATAATACTTTTTTTTTTTTTTTTAATTTAGCGTTCTTTCCCCCTACACCCTACTAGTCCTTAGATTGTGTTTTGATAAGTGTCTCTGAGATCTAGCCATTATGGTTTTTTCTTTGCTTTTGATCTTAAAACTGGAGTGAATTTGTCCCTAAGAAATTGATTTCCTTATGCTTTTTTACTAAACCCATCTCTCTCTCTCTCTCTCTCTCTCTCTCTCTCTCTCTCTCTCTCTCTCTCAGTACTCAGGACTGAGCCCAGGGCTGCTCTACCACTGAGATACACCCCCAGCCCTTTTATTTTTTTATTTTGAGACAAGAGTCTTGCTGAGTTGCCCAGGCTGGCCTTGAATTTGCGACCCTCCTGCCTCAGTCTCCAGATTACTGGTGTGGGCCACTGCTCATAACCCCACCCCTGATGACGCCCCCATCATGCAAAAAGCAGCCTTCAGTGGTCTCCCCTTTCCTCTTAGAATAAAGCTCATACTCCTTCCCAAGGACTTTTCTCATGAGCCTCCCTTTACGAGTGCACTTTATACTTGGAGAACTGAGGCTGGGGATGTAGCTCAGTTGGCAGAGTGCTCGCTCTCCTAGCAGGCAGGCGGCCCTGGGTTCCATCCCCAGCACCACAAGAAGAAAAAGAAAAAAAGCTAACATGCTTGGTGCTCTTGACCTTTTCCCTCTTGGTCTGAACTTGGGTTGATCTCAGGGCTTTGACTTGTCTCTTGTCTGTCTCCTTGCCCCCTGAGCTTGCTCAGCCCTTACCTCACATTCTTCAAGGCTTAATCTCCTTCCATCCTTGCCTGTGGCAGTGTCTGGGATGAGGTTCATTTTGCTTTTGCTTATTTATTTAGTAGTAGTAACATTCTTGGTGCATTTTTGTTTTATGCCAAATAAAATGCTTTTTTGTTTTTTGGTGCTGGGGATTGAACCCAAGGCAAAGACTATACCTCCGTATACTCCCAGCCCCCCAATAATATTGTCCTTTTTTTGAGGCACTGGAGCTCCAACCCAGGGCCTCACACATGTCAGGCAAGCACTCTACCACTGAGCCACATCTCTCAGGCCCTCTCCTCTCTGTGCGCTGCGACACCTCTCTCCTACAGGTAAAATCCCGAAGCATATTCCTCCTGGAGCCATTTTTTGTATACCTACCTTATTTCTCCTATTAGATTTTCTAAGTACCCTCCAATTGAGGACTGTGTTGGATCACCTTTGTATTTTCCACAGCTCTTAGAGCAACAGGGCCCCCTAATTATGCAGTCAGTATTTGCTGATTTGGACTAATTGTCTCTTCTAAACTGGGACCTAGCCCAGGGAGGTAGGATGAGAAGCTCTAGAAGATGCCGGTGCCCCAAGATATCCCAGCCATTCTCAGTGTTCAGTTTCACATTTCCATCCTCATCCAAGTTTCTAGCTGGTTCGGTGGGCCAAAAGTCCCCCAAGATGGAGCTGAACATTTAACTTCCCATACCATGTTGTTATCTCTAAAGTGTTTCCCGGAATTGCTCAATATTACCCCTTACCCATCAATTCCCTTGGACTCCCTTTCTCTTCCCAGCAGTTGTAAGTAGAGTTGGTGCTTTATTGATTTATGACTGCACGGAGTCCCCCTACAAAAGCTTACATCCTGGGCTTGAGAGTCAGTGCTCAAAGCTTGTCCAATTTGTGCTAAACCCTGGGCTTAATCCCTAGCACCACCTGAAGTGCCAAGCTTTTGCATCAAAATGGAAACCAGATGTTACAATAGAGGTTATTTAGAAAAACAATAGTAAATTTACATCAGAATGGATGGTGGCCCTAGATAGGCTGGTAGAATTGACCTGTGGTGGGGACCCAGATGACTTAAAATACCTAAAATATTTTCAAGGGCTGTGAAAATTTAAAAATTGATCACTGTTTTTATGTTAATTTTCACTTAATTTTTCAAATTTTATTTCTCCTGATTCTATAAGTGTCTTTTCATTTATCAATTATGGAGAGAATTTCTATTGATTGAGATTTGGGACTTTTGCTTGTTTATTAAGTAGCCACGGTGTAGTGATGCACACCTGTAATCTCAGAGACTGAGGATGAGGCAGAGGATTGCAAGTTCAAGGCCAGCCTCAGTAATTTAGCAAGACACAGTCTCAGAATAAAGAATAAAAAGGATGCCCCTGGATTCAGTCCCTAGTGTCTCTGTCTCTGTCTCTCTCTCTCTCTCTCACACACACACACACACATATATACACACTCACGGAAAAGCCTGTAATCCCAATAGCTTGGGAGGCTAAGGCAGGAGAATCGCAAGTTCAAAGCCAGTCTCAGCAATTTAGCAAGGCCCTAAGCAACTTAGCAAGTCCCAATCTAAAAATAAAAACCAAAAATGGCTGGTGATACAACTTAGTGGTAAAACACCTCTGGGTTCAATCCCCAGTAAATAGAGAAAGAAAAACTAGAAAGGAGGTTAACCGGACAAATCCACACCCACTACCGCTGTGAGGAAGGTGGTGGGGAAGATAGGGAGCTAAATGGTGGTTCCCCTGCCAACCACTAGTGGTCGCTGTCAGCCCAGGAAAGCTTGGTTACTGTCTGGAAAAGTAGGAGTCAAGGCTACAACTAGTTTGTTTTTGGTACTGGGGATTGAACCCAGGGGTGCTCTACCACCGAGCTACGTGCCAGCCCTTTTTGTATTTTTATTTTGAACCAGGGTCTCACCAAGTTGCCGAAGCTGGCCTTGAATTTGCGATCCTCCTGCCTCAGTCTCCTGAGCTACTGGAATTATAGGCGTGCACCACAGTACTTGGCTACAACTAGTTATTTGAACATGCAGGCTGACATAAATGTGAAAGACCTGTATTTCTTGGAATTTTGAATGTTATAACTTAAATTTTAGAGCATTTAAATTTTGTGTGTTAGGTCTCCAAGTCAACTTACAGTTTTTAATTGTAAAACACAAATTTGGGCTTTATTTATTTATTTGCAGTGCTGGGAAGGAATCCAGGACCTCACATTTGATAGGAAAGTGCTCTACCATTGAGCTTCATACCCAGCTTCTCAGGTTAGGTCTTTAATTTCTCTTAACCTGCAATATCCTTTTTTCTGGGGGGAGGTGCTGGGGATTGAACCCAGGGATGCTCTCCCGCTGAGCCATATCCAGAGCCCTTTTTATTTTTCATTTTGAAATAGGATCTGAGTTGCTGAGGCTGGCCTCAAAGTTGCAATCCTTCTGCCTCAGCCTCCCTAGTCACTGGAATTACAACCAGTTATAATATCCTTTACCTCCACTTCACACAGGGAAAATCTAATTGGTACAGAGAGCCAGAGTTTCCTTTTCAAACTCTGTGAGGCAGATGTATAGCATTGGGCAGAGCCGCAGTGAGTATATGGTGTGATGAGTTACCTTGCTGGTGTTAACAGAAGATACCTTTCTCCCCATCTAGCTAGTATCTTAAAGTCTTCCACCAAAGAGTCTTTGGGGTTTTGCCTTGCCCTTGCCTGGTTCTTCTTTTAAAATGTTAATGTCTCATAGGAGGATTTTTGCATTAAGTCTTGAAGCCCTTGGGGGGAAGTTAGTTTATTTTATCCTTGACTTCAGCTTCTGAGCTAGATAGAGAACTCTGGATTCTAAAGAGGAAAGTTGGCAGTAAAAATCGAAAACCGAGGGCAAAGAAGGGAGGAAGTGGGAGGGATGGGGAACTCAGGTTTTCAGCTTGTCTGTTTTTTAGGGATTTCGGGTTATGCCTGCTACAGGTGCCTGTTAAGTGCTTGCAGAATGAGGGATGATTGAATAAAGGAATGTGTGGCTGACTGACCAGCATGCTCTGGGCCTCACAGGGACAGGATTTAGGGGCATAGTCTCTTGACCTTCTGAACCCTAGAAGTCCCACGGCAGAGAAGAAGAACTGAATGGGTCATGCGGTTGGTTTTGAGTTGCTCAGAAGCCCTTTGACCCCCTAGCCTTAGCTCTATGAGCTCAGGGAATATTTGAATCCACCTTATGGTTGAAAGGGCAGGAAGTGAAAATTCAGTGACATTCCTTCTTTTTTCCGTGGTGAAGCAGAGGGGTGACAGATGGGCTTCATCTCTGGTCAGTTGATAGGCTTCGTGAGTTCTGTGTTAAGAAGATTCTGGAGCCCAGGTGGATGGTCGTATCATCAACCAGTGCTGTCTGCCATGGTCAGCACCGTGCAAGCTGGAGGCTGGCCTTGGAGGACTCACGTTGCCCCTTCTTCCTCTATCTCCAGGGACCCAGCTGGTGCCTGGCCTGGGAGCCAGGATGGCCACTCGCAGAGCCTTGCTGATTTGCCTGGGACTGCCTCTCTTCCTGTTCCCAGGGGCCCAGGCCCAGAACCAGGCCCCGCCTGGCTGTAGCCCAGACCTCAACCCCCTCTACTACAACCTGTGTGACCGCTCTGGAGCTTGGGGCATCATCCTGGAGGCCGTGGCTGGGGCGGGCATTGTCACCACGTTCGTGCTCACCATCATCCTCGTGGCCAGCCTGCCCTTTGTGCAGGACACCAAGAAGCGGAGCCTGCTGGGGACCCAGGTGTTCTTCCTGCTGGGCACGCTGGGCCTCTTCTTCCTCGTGTTCGCCTGCGTGGTGAAGCCCGACTTCTCCACCTGTGCCTCTCGGAGGTTCCTCTTCGGGGTCCTGTTTGCCATCTGCTTCGCCTGCCTGCTGGCCCACGTCTTTGCCCTCAACTTCCTGGCCCGGAAGAACCACGGCCCCCGCGGCTGGGTGATCTTCGCCGTGGCTCTGCTCCTGACCCTAGTGGAGGTCATCATCAACACCGAGTGGCTGATCATCACCCTGGTGCGGGGGGCTGGCGAGGGCGGCCCTGTGGGCAATGGCAGCGCCGGCTGGGCCGCGGCCTCCCCCTGTGCCATCGCCAACATGGACTTTGTCATGGCGCTCATCTACGTGATGCTGCTTCTGCTGGGGGCCTTCGTGGGCGCCTGGCCCGCCCTGTGCGGCCGCTTTAAGCGCTGGCGGAAGCACGGGGTCTTTGTGCTGCTCACCACGGCCACCTCCATCGCCATCTGGGTGGTGTGGATCGTCATGTACACCTACGGCAACCAGCAGCACCACAGCCCCACCTGGGACGACCCCACGCTGGCCATCGCGCTTGCCGCCAACGCCTGGGCCTTCGTCCTCTTATATGTCATCCCCGAGGTCTCCCAGGTGACCAAGGCCGGTCCAGAGCAGAGCTACCAGGGGGACATGTACCCCACCCGGGGCGTGGGCTACGAGACCATCTTGAAGGAACAGGCAGGCCAGAGCATGTTTGTGGAGAACAAGGCGTTTTCCATGGACGAGCCCATCTCAGGTGGGTCCCTGGACACCCTCCGGCCCCTTCCTTATCCCATGTCCTTTACCGTGACACTTCCTAGTTCTCGCTCACAGAGCCCTGGATTTGATCCCCAGCACCACATACACGCACATACCAGCGCGCGCACACACACATACACCAATTCCATTTTTAAGGCTTTTCTGAATAATTCACGTAGTTCATGAATATATTCTCCTTGTAAAATTTCAAACATTACAGATAAACAAAATCCCCCCATCTCCCCCCCGTGCAGCCTCCCATCCTCCCGACCCCTTCCTGTTCCCTGCCCAGAACTGAGCACTGTTGACGGGCACGTCCGTGTGCCTGGGTGTCCTCATGTGCACAATGGGGTAGTAACAGTGCTCCAGGGCCCTTGTGAGGATTGAATCAACAACGACTGTGCCTGACACACGGGAAACGCTCCTAGAAACACAAGCGATTGTGTATCTTATTATATTACTATTAACACCCTTTTAGAGGTTGTTTTCTACTGTGTATGTGTCCATCACCATCTTAGTTTACTTTTAAAGAAAATCTTTTTCAACTTTTTTTCTTTTTTTAAATAAAAGCTCTCGTGGGGCCTGGGGTTCAGGATGTGGCTCAGTGGCAGAAGCTTGCCTAGCACGCAGCGGACCCTGGTTCCATCCCAGCCTCCCCGCTTCAAAAAAAGCGCTATGGTGCCAGGCAGTGACCTCAGCAGCATATTTATTTTCCCATTGTTTTTATTGGTGCATCATAGTTGCTCAGGAGGGTGGGATTTGTTTGTTACACATTCTTACATGGATACAGGATAACAATATACCTTGGCCAATATCACTCCCCAGTATTCCCCTTTCCTTCCCTGGTCCCTTTCTGTGAGACCCACTTCCCTTCTTTCTCTTCCTGTTTCCTGTCTGGCTTCCACACATGAGAGAACACTGGAGGTGCAGGCTTGAAGCCCTACCCTGACCTAAGCTGATTGTGCTGATTAAGATGCTTGGGGACTTCAGGTTTGGTGGTTCGTTTTTTGTTGTTGTTGTTTTGGGTTTTTTTTTTTTTTTTTTTTGGTTTTTTTTTGTTACTGGGGATTAAACCCAGGGGTGCTTACCCACTGAGTCCCATCCCCAGCCCTATTTTGAATTTTATTTAGAGACAGGGTCTCACGGAGTTGCTTAGCACCTCACTTTTGCTGAGGCAGGCTTGGAACTCGTGATCCTCCTGCCTCAGCCTCCCAAGCCTCTGGGATTACAGGTGTGCATACCCGGCAGTGACTTCAGGTTTTAACTGCCTCTGGTCACCCTGTGCCAGTTCTGGGGCCTCTGCAAGGACAGATTCAGGAAGATCCAGAATCAGAGAAATCTGTTTCTTTCAAACTGTGAGATACTCAAAATCCCTGCTTTGGGGAAAGCAGTGACCCTTGTCCTGCTGGGCACTCGATCTTTGATCTGCCTCCCACTGGGGCTGACCGCTGGCCTTACCCCGGGGTGGCTCCTGGCACACAGGAGTGGGCTGAGTGTGCAGGGGGCACTCGGTGCAGTCAGCAGGAGAGGGGGCTGTGGGCAGGTTCAGGAACTTGCAGCCCGCTGTCCCTGGGCGCTTACGCAGAGCTCTCAGCCATTGTCCTCTCGCGGCAAGCACTTCTGGGCTGTGAGTTTATATTTCCTTTTTTTTTTTTTTTTTCCCCTAAATGGAAAAATCAATAACGTGAGCCCGGCACTTAGAAGCCTCATAGGTTGTGGTCCCTGGCCCTGCAGGAGACAGGCCAGGCTACCCTGCACTTGGGCCCCTTGGGTTGGTCAGTGGGTCTCCTCCAATACCTCGAGGTGCCTGCAGGGTGGACAGATCAGGAAACCAACACCCCAAGGTACAGAGGAGAATTCCTGGAGCCGCAGATACTTCTGGAGAGTTGCCAAGGGGCCCCGGATGGGATGAGCAAGCAGTCTCCCCTGCCGGGTCCCAGGGGGTGGGTGGGGGCATCTGTAGCCAGCCCTGCCCCGTGACGATATGAAGATTTGTGGGCTGAGGGGTCTCAGCAGTATTTATGCTAGCTCCTGGCAGCTGGCCCGCAGCAGTGGAGGCTGGAGCTGGAGGCTGGCCATCTTGGAAGGCAGCCTAAGGCCCATGTGCCCCTCTTGGCCTCTGGCCCTGGGGCGGATAAGGATGTGAAGGATGCTGACTGGGCGTTTTTCTGAGCTGCTGGGTGGGGATGGGGGGGTCTTGTACCGCAGGGAGCTCAACAGCATTGTGGTCTTCTATGCATCTTTCTGTACAAAGGGGTGCGGGCTTGGAGGGGCCCGGCCCATCCACTGTGTGGCTCCCCCACACCCTGGAGAGGGCTGCTTGGGTTGTGGGAGGGGGAAACACTGAGAATCAGGGATCCTCAATCTGCACCTGTCTTTCCTTACAGCTAAGAGACCAGTGTCACCTTACAGTGGCTATAACGGACAGCTGCTGACCAGTGTGTACCAGCCCACCGAGATGGCTCTGATGCACAAAGGCCCGGTGAGTGGGGTCCCAGGAACCGCGCAGAGCCCAGCTGGGCAGGTGGGGAGAGAGGGCCCTTGGTGGGAGGAGGGCGAAGGCAGGCTTCTCATCTGGGAATGTCCCCAGGGAACCCAGAGCCCTAGTTCTTACCCATCTCCTGGAGATGATGTGGTCACTGCCTCTGGCCACACTGCAGTGACCTGCCCTGTGTCACTGGGCATCACACACAGCCTGGGCCTAGCTGCTACTAAAATGCAGAACTACTTGGTGGGCTGTGGGAGCTCCCAGCTTTACCCTAAAGAGCTCCGGGAGGGACAAAGGTCTCAGCCAGGTACTCCCCAAAGTGACAGGGGACTGAATGTAGCAGGTCTCTCCGGGTATTTAGTTCTCACCCACAGCTGTCCAGGGAGGGCCTCCAGTTCCCCGTCTCCTCCCACCTCCCTTGGGCTCTGGGAGCCAGATGGTCCATTAGCCAAGCGGGGAGGGGACAGGAAGCCGGTGGGTTAGATTCCCACTCCATATATGTTCTCCTCCTGGCTGGCAGTGGCTGCGGGGAGAGGTCAGCGACCTGCCTTGGCAGGACTCTGAGAACAGGAAGCCAGGAGGTCAGCGGGGCTCACTTCTTCCCCCCCCCCCCCACCTCCCACCTCCTGCCGTAAGCCCAGAGGCAGGGGCTGGCCAAGTGTCTGGAACTTCCTACTCCAGCTCTGTCCCTCTCCCCAAGCCTGAACCTGTGGCCAAGCCAGGGAGAGCAGGCCGAGGCCCTTAGGGACTGCCTGACCATGGCCACCCTTCTGTCCTTCCCAGTGTGTTTCATTGATGATCTGGACTAGCAGGGATATATATATATTTTTTAAAAAAAAATTTTTTAGTAGTTGTAGATGGACTCAACACCTTTATCTATCTTTATGTGGTGCTGAAGATCAAGCCCAGTGCCTCACACATACTAGGCAAGTGCTCTGCCGCTGAGTCACAACCCCAGCCCTAACAGGAATAATTTTTCTGCCTGGTTTTCAAAATGTGTTTTCCCAGACCACCAGAGTTAACATCCTCTGGGAACCTGCAGAAAATGTGGATTAGCACCTCTCGGGGTCCCGGGGTTGTTGACATCACCTGGGTAGCTTGGTTTCCCCCAGGAAGGGAAGAACTCCCCCAGGCAGTTCTGCAGCTCTGGGCTCCCTCTCCCGCCCCAGTAGTTAAACATTCCCCACCTCCAGCTGGGGCTCAGCTCCCAGGGGGTGGATGGCTTCACAGAGTCCTGCTGATTTGGTGCACACCCAGGTCTAGAGACCATTTATCCAGATGTTCCGGGAGGTGGAGATTGCACACAGGTGGGGGGAACACCTGGTTCTGACTCCTGCAGGCTGGTTTGGGGCCCTGGAGCCACAGAAGGTTGAAGACAGGTCTTTTCCTTAGGGATAAGGCAGGTGGGGGCAGGAGTTCATCTGCCCTCCAGGTAGGAGCCGGCTACCTCAGGACCCTGCCCCCACAAGGCAGCCAAGCTCCCGGGCTTTGACTGGTCAGTCCAGATGACTCAGTGCCCAAGAGAAGGGTGTCCAGGTATTGTGACATTTGGGGGGCTCAGGTAAGCTTCTTGGAGGAGGGGAGCCTGGAGGCAGGTCATAGGTCATCCTCCCAGGTCCTGAGCTTCCCCCTGAGCTTCCCCCTTAGCCCTGGAAGAAGGAGGGCCCCTGCACCGGGCAGCCTCAGGTGAGCGAAGCCCTCAGTCCCATCCCTAGAGGCAGAAGAGTTAGGGGCTCGAGGTCAGCCATGTCTTTCCACAGTTGTCAGCCCCAGGTGCCACTGGGACCTGGCTGGAGTGGGGCAGAGGGGACGAGAAGGAGGAGCTGGCACTCAGGGCCCTGCAGGAAGCAGAGTATTTGTACATCCGCCCTGGCGGAGCCTGGCCCCGTCCCCCTGACTGTGACACCGCCTGTTCTTCCTTCCAGTCCGAAGGCACTTATGACGTCATCCTCCCACGGGCCACTGCCAACAGCCAGGTGATGGGCAGTGCCAACTCGACCCTGCGGGCTGAAGACATGTACGCGGCCCAGAGCCACCAGGCGGCCACGCCACCTAAGGACGGCAAGAACTCTCAGGTCTTTAGAAACCCCTACGTGTGGGACTGAGGCGGCAGCCACGGCCAGGAGGAAGAGGGCAGATTTGGGGAGGGCCCTCAGGACCTGGCCTGGGTGAGGGACCCCCAGGACCCCCATGCTGTGTGACTCCTCCTCCCACACTGGCTCAAAGCAGCTTGTGCCAGAGCCGTGAGGCCCCCGTCTGCCAATGTTCCGGGGGTGTCCTGGGTGCCCCCACCCACTCCTCAGTGTTCGTGGAGTCCGGGAGCCAGCCTGGTTTCATGCCGGGCCACCTCCGGCGGTCCTGCTCCAGCCAAATAGTGTTCTTCTTGGGGTGGTGGCCGGTCCGCGCCTACATTCTCTGGAGATTCCTGCAGCCTCAAGACATCTCCAAGCAGGCACGTCGGGCCTGGGTCTTGCTCCTCTGTGAGGAACAAGGGTGCCTAATAAACATGTCTCTGCTTTGTTAACGCACGCGCTGGGCTCGCGGTTTCTGGTGGGCTGTCAGCTTCCAGTGTCCCTCTCTCCCCTCCTCCATGGGCAGTGGGTGACCCTTCTGCTCCACAGCTGCTCACTCTGTGCACTGCGGCAGGCGTGTCCTGAAGTTAGTGGGGGACACCTCACCAGGGAAGTGATCCCTGTCCGCCCTGAGGACCTCCAGAACCAGCACCTGCCCCACTTGGCTGTGGATGTGGCCCCACATCTGGGCTTGTCTGACCCTGCAGCTCTCCTCTGGGACCCCTGTCCAGTGGTTACGCTCAGTGACGGAACAAGGAAGGCAGGCCACCAGCAGGCAGCTGTGTGGGGGAGGTCAGCCAGTCTCGGCTCGTGGTGGGAAGAGAGTCCAGTTCACCCTGCAGTGGGTGGATGGATTGGCCAGGACTTGACTCCATCATGGGTTTACCGAGGTGGGAAGGGTGTGAGAATGTCTGTTTACTGTCCTTTATAGTCAGCCCAAGCCTGTCCCCTGCAGGAGTGTAATCCCTGGGACTACCCGGGAGGGGGACAGGACTAGTATTCTCTTTCCAGAGTCGAAATCCCAGCACGGTGCCCTGTCAGGGTCAGGCAGGGCTTTGTGGGTAGATGTCCCAACCCCTCTTGCAGGTGAGCAGAGTGGCCTCCTGGTGGCCAGGCCAAGACTGGTCAGGTTTTCTCGACACTGACAGCCAGGGAGCCCTGGTGGCTGGGCTGTAGGCTGTCCTCTCAGCCACGTGGGTGGGACAACGGTGTCCTGGCCCTTGGACTCTGGTTCTAGTCTTCTCCAGGGGCTGCCAGCCGGCCCCTCCCGGGCCTGGGAATGTCTCTCCAGCTAGTCAGAAGCTATTTTCTGACACTGGTTGTAGGAAGAACATGTTTTGTTGAAAGAGAGAGGGAGGTTGCTGAAAGATAAATAAACTTCTCCCAAACTTCTCCTTCTATGTTCACATGGCCCCGGCCCCGGCCCCTGGGGACTGAAGCACTTTGAAAATAAATAAATAAAAGTGAGTGGCTGGGCCCCAGCCGGCAGGTCCTTCCCCTTTGACTCTTGTTCTTTCTGGTTACTTTAGGCTCAGTCCCCGCAAAATAAAACGAGACGGTAGACGCCCTCTTCCCTGGACTGCACGGCCACCTGATGTCCTCATTCCTCTGTACCTCTCTCGCCCTTGTCCTTGGAGCTGGGAGGGACCAGAGGCCACCAACCTGAAGCAGTGGACTGATGGGGTCCCTGGGAAGGCCTGGGGTTCAGGGGTCTTCCTACTTCTGCCCAGCCAGCCTCCTGGTCCCCAAGTGACTGCAATTGGAAGGAGCTGGTTGTGGACTCCCATCTCCCCTCTTGATCCCACCCTCCTTCCAAGTCACGGCCCTGTGTGTCTCCGGGTGTGGTTCTGCAGACAGCCCTGTCTGCTGCCTCTGTCTTGACACTGGACCTTCCTGGCTGGCTATCTTGGTGTCCGGCATCATCTTGTCCCACTCGGCACCGAGGGGAATGTTCTCTGTGAGCCTCTGGAGCCAAATCATGGCAGAAGTTGTCCCTTGTCCTCCTCCCCAGGGCCTTTTGCTACCACCTGGACTGTGGAAGGCCATGAGCTGAGGCCAGTGCTTGGCCTGGACAGGTGATGCTTCTGTTCATGGCCGGTAGGTCCTGGATTTGAGCCCTCTGCGCCATGACCCTGACTAAGCCTTCCCCAGCTTCCATGAAGTGGGTCCCACCACCAGGCCAGGGCCAGCCCTACCTGTCCTCTGATCCCAACTGTCCTTGCCATTTGGGACAGGGACTACCACACCGGTTCCAAGCCGGAAAGCTCTTCATCATTCAGTGCTACCTCATGGAGAACCCCACGGAGAATTTGGAGAGCTGTCAGGCCACAGTGGCATTTGGGACTTGGCCTTGTTTACATGCCAGGGTGCTCTGTAACCTTGTCTCCCCTCGTCGGCCTTTGGCTTCTCAGTTGTTTGGAAGGTGGCTCCTGGGATAGGGGCAGGTATCATGCTCCTGAATGACCTGGGCCTCGCAGGTTCTGAGGGGCGGGGGGCCTGCTGTGACTACCTGGGCATCTGGCCAGGGCCTGGAAATCCCCTTAGGAGAAACAGGCTGGGTCAAGGCTGCATTCTCAGGGACCCGTTGAAGGTCCTGGACCAGGCAAGTTGGGATCCAGACCTCTCCTGTGACAAACTGGTGGGACGTGGGGAGGCCCCTTAGGTAAGGGGTCTTGGACTGAAGATTGTGACGGGCAGGGGGCTGAGTCTCCACCTCAGCTTGGGTGGCCGGCATTGCTTTCAACACTGGAGGGACCTCTAGTGTCCTTGTTCTTGCACATGCTACAGAGGGTTCTGACAGTCACCCAGGCAAGAGGGGCCATTCTCAGAACCTGCAGGATGCTGGTCCCGAGGAAAGGGATGAGCAAGCTGAGACCTCCGCGCCATCTTGGTCCTGCCCTTGGTACCCGACAGAGCTGGCCCATCCAAGGGGTCCCCCTGAGTGTGCCCAGGAGCTCAGTCCTTAGCCCAGCATCACCTCTGTGCAAGGTGGAAGGCAAGGACTTTTCTGAGAGGCACCTTGTGGTCGGCCCCACAGATTCCCCAGTGCCACCCCCCTGTCCCCATCAGCCTGTGCCTTTATCACTGGAGCATTTGTTCCAGAGCTGAACTGGGTGAACAGTTCCCACAAAGTACGGCTGGGTCCCCAGGTGTGATCCCCTCTTCCCTTTCACTTCCATGAATAATGTTTCCCTCCAAGGGACGGGGGCTCCTTGCACCTCAGACTGCCCTGATCTGAGTTAGCGGCCCCCAAGGTCCCTTCAGTGAGTGAAGGCACTTGAGTACTACTGTTCTTGGTAACAATCTCAGGAGTCTCGGGCTGGGCCGGGTGACCAGGGTGCTGCAGCCTGCAGTGGACCCAGGTGTGTCTGTAGCCGGACTCCTCAGCTTGAGGAAGCTCAGGAGGGATGGGCTCCTGAAAGATGCAGGCCAGTCCAGCTTTTGGACTGCTTCCTCCGCAGAGTCCAGAAGACGCATGTGTTTTAGGAGGCAGGAGGCGCCTTCTCTGAAGTGGCCAAGGTGCCTCATCCAGTGGGAGAAAACTGGTGCAGGTTCATTGTCCTAGGCACCCCCTCAGTGTGTCTCACCCCTGCCACTGCCGGATCCTGTCGCTGGAAGCAGAGGACTTCATGACACTCAGAATTAAACGACGATCCTCCATTTGGGAGGGGTTTCTGCCACTGAGTCCTGTGTGTTCCTGAGGGATTCTGGGGCGTGTGCACGTGCGTGTTCCCCACCCCACAGACTCCTTGCCTTCCACACCATCAAAGGCTGACTGACCCCAATCAACCTTTCTCTTGTTCGGGGACTTACTCTAAGGGGGAAATGAGGTCTCCAAAGATACTGAGTTCTCAACCAGGCAAGATCAGAGACCAGTGACCCACATTGAGCCTGGGAGGGAAGGGTGGGAGAGGAGGTCACCTCTGACGGTAGCCCTCCTGCTGCCTGGTGTTGCTGGCAAAGGAGCCAAGACAGCCCATGGAGTGACATACTCTGCAAGGAAGGTGGCCCCAGGTGAGGGTGACCTGCCATGTGCCATGCCCAGCTTTCTACTTACATTTGCAGCTCTTAGGACTTGTTCAGCCCCACACAGCTCGCCAAAGGCACCAAGTAAAGGACAGAGGTTAGGTGACTTGCCCATGCTCAAGCAGCCCAGAGGGGTCTGTCAGCCCTCCAACCATTCTCACCGAGGCTAGCATTTTCTCTAGCCCTCAGAGGATCAGCCAAGGTCAGGCACAGGTGCCTGGGCCAGACATTGCTTCCTGTCTGCTGTCTCCACACTGGGCTCCAGGAAGCTGCAGCCCCTGCTCGCAGCAGCCCCATGAATAATTTAGCATCTGCACCAGCCCGCCAGTGCTCTGACCTCATCCTCCTTGGGCTCAGGGTGCGGCTCTGACCTCATCCTCCTTGAGAAAAGGTTGCTGCTAATGGGTAGTCGCTGGGTCCCTCCAGAGTGGGGGATGATTGACAGGGAAGGAGGAGGGGACCTGAGAGCCAATTGCCTTTGTAGCTGGAGGCAGCTTTGCAGTGAAGAGAACATGACTTTGGAATCCTATGGCCCTGGGTTCAGTCCCTGGCTCTTCCCAGTTCTGTGACTTTGGGCAGCCCCCTGGACCCTCCCTCACTCTCCTTATCTGGAAAACAGGAGTACAAAACCCTGGGCTCATGTTAACTGTTCTAAACCCAGGTTGTCCCAGGGGCCACAGGAGCTGGTCTCTAGGTAAGATGTCACCATTTGCTGCCTTCTGGGGTGCCACATCTCCCCTTTCTTCTCCTGTGCTTCTGCACTGGGGTGGCAGAGTGAGTGGGATGGCAGGGGATGGTAAGGAGAAGGACACATCCTGGGCAGGCCCCAGACTGGCAAGGGAAAGGAGCTAACCCACAGTTATGTTACCGCTGTTGACCAGTGACGAGTCCTTGCTTCCCCAATGTTGAAGTATAACACCAGAGAAGCACATCAAGAGGCAAGTTTAGAGTGGAAAATAGAAGTTTATTAAAGGACAGCAGAAAAGACTTCTCCCGGAGGAAGAATGGGACCCAAGAGATGGAATCCGTGGAAGTGTGGTTGTCTCTCCATTTTATTGTTTTCAGTGATGGAATGTAGGTGGGAAGGCCTGAGGGGTGGGGCACAGGTGGGCCAAAGAAGTAATCTGGGCAGGAAGGACTTCTGAGGCAGCATCTTCAAGTTTGCTGTTCATTAACACTTTGGGATGGGCTATCTTCACATCTGCTGGGGGCTGTTTCCTGGACTTCATTAACATTTCAAGAGTTGCTCAACTTTTCCTGGGATTCATTCTCATGGTCTCCATTTTAGATCTCACTCGATATTAGACCTGATTTACCTAATACACTGACTACCTAATTTTAAATCTGGCTTCAGTTAGAAGGGTGGCCTGGGCACCGGGGAAGTCCAAAAAGCCAGGCTGAGGAGCTGGGGTCAAACTGCCTCTAGTCCAACAAAGGTTCCTCCAGCCCTACTCCAGGCATAGACGTGAGCACACCCTGGTCCCGGCCCTCCTTTGCCAGGTCAGACCCCGGGGCTGTAAAGGAAGTGGTCATGGTGGCTGCAGCACCGTTCGGAGCAGCACCTTTCTGTCCAGCATCCTCAGGCCAGGGCCGGGCTCTGTCTAGCTCAGGCTACATCCAGGACTTGGGGTCCCCAGCAGCTGGCAAGGAAGCCCAAGCCTCAGCGCTGAGCTATGTGTCGCCTCCACTCAAGGTCAGAAGCAGAGCCGGGCGGTCACAAGGCCACCACCTGTATGTGCCTTGGACAGAGGCGCTGGGTCCCGGGTCCACTGGGATCCGTCCCATGCCAGCGGGTGGTGGCCGACAGACTCCTCCACTCCAGAGCCCCGGAGGAGGCGCCCTCCCAGGACCGTCCGCTCGGAAGGCGCGCAGAGGGCCTCGCTCCCTTCACCCTTCGACTGGAAGAAGGCCCGGGGGCGGGGCTGGAAGGCTTTGTGCTGAGTCCTGTCCGGGGAGGACCCTGCCCTGACCCTCGGGAGAGGCCCTGGGCTCCCCACCCGATAAGGCTCCCCCTCCCCTGGCTCCTGGGCGGGGGAGGGAGCTGGCCCGGAGCATCTGGCGCTCCACGTCACTCTCCGCCAGGCCTCCCCGCCCCCAGCCAGGCGCGGCCGCCACTCGTTGCCACCCGAAGCCCCGCCCGACGCCCTGCAACCCGATCCCCGGGCCAGCCTTCCCGGGCCAGCTGTCCCTGCCGCTGCCCGCTGCAGGGCGGCCGCACTCCCGCCCTGGGCACCCTCAGGCCTGGCCACGGAGCTTCCGGGGCTGCGATTGCCCCAAGCTTTTTACCCTGCCCCCTTCTGCCCCGCCAGCCCGGACTGGGCCCGGCGCCCACCGCCTTCGTCCCTGTGCCTCTCAGCCCTGCACAAAAAGGGGTCAAGGAAGCAGATCCCCGCTCCAAGAAGAGGGTCCCCTGGGGCCCATGGCGTGTCCACGCAGGGTGTGAGGGAGCCGCGCTGCGCAGGGCTCTAGGGCGGCCGTCCTCAGCCTGAACACCACCGCATTCCGGAGGGTCCTTCTCTGGGGTGGGGGCTGTGCCTTGTAGGATACTAGGCAGTTCCACCCACTGGATGCCAGGAGCAGCACCACCCCCCTGGTTGTGACAACCCAAAATGTCTCTAGATGTGGCAAATGTCCCCTGGGATCCAGCCCCCTAGCGTTTTACAGTGGACATCTGAGCCAGCGGCACAGGGCACTGGATCTGAGCCTGGGGCCTCGCCCCGCCCAGTATTCCATGGTGTGCTGTCCTTGCCCTCTCCACTGGTCCAAGTCAATTTGGTCAGCCTGGGGACAATTATCCTTGACCACAACATTTGGACAGCATGTGACTTGCCAGCTCCTCTCTCTGCAGACACCTTAGCCTCTGTCTTCAGGGAGGCAAAAATAGGGCCACCCCATACTCACCCCACACACCCTCAATGTGGGAAGAGCCCCCTCAGTCCCTGCTGTCAGGTCCATTTGTTGGTGGTCAGCAGAGTCAAGTGGAGGGAGAGAGGGTGGGGACAGGGTGCACTGACCTCCACCTTCATGCAAAGAGGAGTTGCTGGAGAATCCAGTTCCAGAAAGAAGGGGACACTTTTCCCAGTTGCCCCTCTCCTGTGTGTTCATTTACCTGTGTTTGCACAAAGGTACTCTGAAAAGAGAAGACAGGTGTCACCATGCCAGGCAGACAAGCACAGAAGACTTTACTGTCTTAACATATTTTTGGAGGGGGTGGGTACCCAGGAATTAACTCAAAAGCACTTGACCACTGAGCCACACCTCCTGCCCTATTTTGTATTTTATTTAGAGTCAAGGTCTCACTGAGTTGCTTAGTGCCTCACTGTTGCTGAGGCTGACTTTGAACTCGAGATCCTCCTGCCTCAGCCTCCTGAGCCTCTGGGATTACAGGCTTGTCCCACCATGCCTAGATAATAACATATTTCATTTTATTATTATTATTTTTTTTTTTGTGTGTGTGTGTGGTGTTGGAATCAAACCCAGGCTATGTCAGGCAAACACTGAGCTCCACCCTCAGCCCTGAATCACGTATTTTTAAAACTTCGGAAAGAGGCGAGGTGTGGTGGCACATGCCTATAGTACCAGTACTTGGGAGACTGAGGCAAGAGAATTGAGGCCAGTCTGCAACTTAGCAAAAACCTGTCTCAAAACAAATTTATTAAAAAAGAGCTGTGGATGTATCTCAGTGGTAGAGCACTTGTGTAGCATGCATGAGACCCTGTTTCAATCTCCAATATCGAAAGAGAATGAAAATTTTTAAATCAGCCGGACACGGTGACACACCTGTAATCCCAGTGGCTCAGGAGGCTGAGACAGGAGAATCTCGAGTTCAAAGCCAGCCTCAGCAATGGCAAGGCACTAAGCAACTCAGTGAGGCCCTATCTTTAAATAAAAATACAAAATAGGTCTGAGTGCCCCTGAGTTCAATCCCAGGTACAAAAAAAAAAAATTAAATTCAAAAATCATTTTAATTGAAAGAAAGAGAAGGAGCCTGGAGCCGTGTCATGGCTCTGTGGTGTCCTGCACCCCTAGCTGCCTCCACGAAGGCCATCTTTGGCCACACCTGTCACTCCTCCTCCCTCTTCCTAGAGGCTCCCAGGGCTCACCCTACCCAGTGTTTCCGATTCCTTCTCCCTTGGGAGGCTCTGTGAGGAGGCCGAGGACAATGGCCCGGGAAGGGACGAAGCTCACTGCACAGATGTGCCCCCTCCCAGCACTTCTGAGAAGACTGATGAAGCCGGCGTTCCTGGAACAGACTGGTGCATTGTCACCATTTGCCTCGTCCCACAGAGAATTCAATGCAGGCATGGGAGCAGCACGCAGCTCACGAGCTCACCATCCCTGGGCTCTTCATAGTGCCTACGCAGGCCGCTCCTCCAGCACCCTGATCCACCTCAGTCCCCTCTCTGACCTCTCCTGGCCCCCAGTCCATCTGGCTCCCAATACTCCTGAAATCTGGAATTCCTTGTCCTCGGGTCACTTGGGCCAAGTGCTGTGTGTCTCTGGGAGGAACCCCTTAGGGGACGTGTGACTTCTGCAGCTGATTTTCCTGCATCAGTAAGATGTGCCCTTGGGTCTGCAGAGATGAAGCCACCTCCCTGTGGGCACACGTGTCAGGGGACCTGTGCTGGGGACGAGGGCTTCCCTCATGGGGCTTTGCT